GTTCCCAAGCCCAGCACAAGGGGAAGTTGGGAGATGGAGGAAGCATCGGGGCGTTTGAAGAATAGCTCAGGCAAAGAACAACAAACGCACCACGGCCTGCTGGGAGGACACGGAGCTCTGTCTTGGAAGAAGTGCAACCAGCAGGCTCCTTAGAGACAAGGGCTGTGAGACTTCCTCCCACGTGCTTTGGACACACCGTCGGGAGAGACCAGTCCCTGGAGAAGGACCATCAACTTCAGGTTTAAAAAAGGAAGACCTTCGACGAGACGGACTGACACAGTGGGTGCAACCGTGGGCTCCACTGTGGGACGGGCAGGACTGGGCAGTGTTGTGTTCTGTTGTGCAGAGGGTCGCTATGGGGAGGGGCCTGGCAACCGCTCAGAGCAGGCCTGCAGGGGGTGCTGGCGAGTGACGCTGGCCAGCCATGGCTGCCTGGCCTCTTCTTGGGGGAGAGGGAGGTCTGCGTGCCCACCCAGCATTGGCTTCAGTTGGACTGGTGCCCCGACCTTCCCACACCAGAGCCCCTCTCCCCACCCCCTCAGCTACTGCCACTCAGGACCTCCGACCCAATGTGTGTGGGGAGTGTGTGTGTGTGTGGTTCTTAAGTCTGCACGGGCAGGCAGCAGCAAGGGCAGTCGCTTGACTCCTGGGGAGACTCAGGAGGCGTCTGCTCCCGTGAGGCCGTTCTCCTCTGACCGACAGGCCTGAGTGGCAGCCACTCCATCATGAGGCTTTTGTTTTTTCCAGGTGGAGCATCTAGGAAGAATAGCCTGGTGATCTATTTCTGAAAGCCAGCCCAAGAGACGCGCCCCCAGTGCTAGTGCAGGCCCGTCCTGCACAGAGTCTACGGGAGTCTGGTCACTCCCCTCCCAGCGCCCGCTTCAGCCCACAGTGACAGGCCACTGCCCCATCTGTCTAGGGGTCGCCCCCACAGTAGAGGGGCCTTCGGTTGGCCCAAACAGCACCTGGTCACCACTCTGATGTTGTAAAGGCCAGGCAGCCTTCTGGTTGGCAAGACTGTGTGGAACTGGCCGCACCACCAGGGCTCCTTGCTAGGTAGTCGGCAGACAGCTTTGTGGACTCTGGGTGGATGGGCAGGGAGGCCACTGCGTGCACACTGGGTGGGGGGGCAGAGGGTGACTGAGCAGGGAGGTGGGCAGGCCGCTGTTCCAGTGCAGTCCGAGTAGAATTGGACTCCGTAGGGCTTTGGGAGGCTGATATTTCAGCCCACCAGGCCTTTCTTCTGAGTAGCCCCTGGGTGGATTCGAAGCTGCACCTGTCAGCAGTCAGCAAGCTCCCGTGGGCTGTGCCGGGGCTCCAGCGTGGTGACAAAGTGACCATTGACTCCGAGGGCCAGCTGAGAGGGCCTGTGAGTCTTGAGGCTCCTCAGCAAGTGGGTGTTGGGCTGGGAGCTCAGGCCCCCACAGCAAGGGTCTCCCCAGATGTGGCCACCTCACAGACGCCATGGGCACATGTCTCTGTGGGGCTGGCCTTTGTGCAGCCGGAGGGCTGGAGAGGCAGGGCTGGGCTGCTGACCGGCCAAGCTCCACAGCCTGCTCCCTCGGCCAGGGTGGCTACTCCAGGGGAATACCTGGGCTCAGGAACTGGGTGTCCCCCACATTTCATGTTTATCGTCCCAGGCTGGTTGTGGTACCCACTGTTCACCCTGTGAATGCTGCATATGCGTGTCTGAGTATGTATGTGTGTGTGTGTGTGTGTGTGAGAGAGAGAGAGAGAGAGAGAGAGAGAGAAAGAGAAGCCCGGCTTGGGCTCCCTCCGGCCACATGCCCCTACTTCTGCTCTTCAGCAACCATGGACACTGGGGGCTGTGTGGGACACTCCACGAGCCTCAGTTTCCCCATTTACCAAGTCAAGGCACCAAGATGCTGAGGGTTCTTGGGACCTGCTGTGAATTCAGGGCAGCCAGTGACCACTGTCATGGCTCTCTAAAATGTTCCTGAACTCTGAAAGCCAACCACTTGTAAGAAGCTCAAGGAAAACTGGTAGTACCTTCAGTGCTGGGTTGGGCTGCTCACCACAAGGTCGGTGGTTCAAACCCACCCACCACTCTGAGGGGAAACAAGGAGGCCGTCCGTTCTCATGAAGATGGGAAGCCTCAGATACCTCATGGGGTAGTTCTCTGTGTGTGAGGGTCAACTGGACAGCAGAGGGCTCCCCACCCCAGGCCCCCAGGTGGCCTAGTGGTTACACATTAGGGTATTAACTGCAAGGTCGGCAGTTTGAAACCACCAGCTGCCACTCAGGAGAAAGATGAGGCTTTCTGCTCCTGTAGAAGTACAGTCTCAGAAACTCACACAGGCAGTCTACCCTGCCCTTTGGGCTGCTATGATTTGGCATTGTAGATTGGACTAGAAGATACAAAAGTGTTTCTTTGTTTTGTTTTTTCAAAAGTGTTTTTTTGTGTGTGTGCGTGTGTGGGTACCAGTTTTCCACACAGGACCAAGAAGGCGGGGTGGGGGGGTGGCCTGAGCGGGCCAGCCCCTCAGAAGTGCTCGGCCTTTCCCGTCCTCCTCCACACTTGTCAGTGAGGCCAGCCGGCCCTGATGTTATGAATCCGAGGGTGGGGCTGTGCCCCATGCAGACCTAGCATGTGACCTGGGCAGCCCCATGCCCTGGCTGCCCTCTGGCCCCACCTCTCCCCTGAACACCCCAGGCCCCGTCCAACCTCCAACGAAACAGCCAAGGTGACACCCTGGCAGAGGGTGTGGGGACACGCTGGCATGGCCACACTTAGGGCGCCAGCCAGCTTGCTGGACCAGCAGGCCTGGCAGCAGAAGGCCTTTTGTGGACTGGCCTCTCTGTCTTGGGGTCACGGGTGGCAGGTAGCTACCTGCCACTCCACAAAGCTGTGTCCAAGGTCTGTCTCTACCCCCAGAGCGGGCCATGGAGGTGAGGGACAAGGTGTGACCCTGTCTACCTGGTCAGTCACAACCAAGGTCAGTTCGCTTCCGGCCCAGGCCAGGCTGGCCCACACTGGGTGGTTACCGTGGTTGTGTCCCCGACAAGCAGCCTGGCTGGGGTCCACCAGGGACCTCCAGATCCCACCAGTCCTGGTTCCCCAGCCCCCCTCCCCCCTGCAGCCCAGAGCCGCCCCACCCCCAGCTACCCCGAGTGAGTAACTCTCTTTCTAAATTCAGCAATGACCACTGAGGCAAGTAGTCTGGTGACTTTAATGAAGTTGTCATTCTCTGGTCGGTTTCTGAGCTGGCAGTAGTCCCCTCTCTCTCCGGTGGGGGGCCCGGGAGGCTGAGCTCAAGAGCAGAAACCTAGCCCCTAGGGCTGTGTGCGTGAGGGCCGGAGACATGCAGCTGGGCCTCGCCTGCCCCTGCTCGGCCGGCAGGGACACGTCACGGCGGAGCCTCACGCGCTTGGCGGACCACAGGGTCTCGGCAGAGGGCTCTCTCGGCGGTTCTGCTGTCCGACGTTATAAATAAATACAGCGGAGACAGGCGGGGGAGGGAGGGACACTTGGCACGGGTCTCCGTCTCGAGGTCCACTTTCATTGCGACGGAGGCGCATCGTGAGATCCTGTAGGAGACAGGAGCGAAGGGGACTGGGCCCCGGGCCTGGGGCACACGGGCCGGGCAGGATTGGGGGGCTGGGGGGGGGACAGGACACACAAGACGTGGGCCTGGGACGGCCACTCGAGCCAACACCAGCATCTGCCTTCCTTGCGAGAAAAAACCCAACCCCAAATCCAGCCTCCTCTGAGTGTGACTCACTGGGACCCTGCGGGACCGAGTAGAACTGCCCCCAGCAGACAGCCTCAGTTTCTCTCCTCGGAGCGGCTGGGGGGTTTGAACTGCTGACCTTGTGGTAAGTAGCTCCAGGCTGAACCCACTGTGCCACTAAGCTCCAGACCCGACACAGGACAGTCTCCTGGTGACTTGGT